GTAATCATGTAATATCTGTGTTGGTAATATGTAACATATTAGAGCAATTAAACATGCCCAACTTAACAAACTCAATTCAATGTTTTCAGATATATTTATAATGTTTAAATAACAAATTAAAAATTAATTTTTTTTTTTAATTCCGTGTTTGAACCTTTTTTTTTTTTCTTTGGATCCTCCCCTTCCTCGCCTTTAAGGCTATACGGTTTTTTTTTTCGGGCCAGGGGATGTGGGCGGAGATTTAAAAGACTCCCTCGGCACCGGGACGCGAACTCGTGACTAATTTTTATCATATATCAGGCTGCCCGGCACGGCGGTGCTGTGTACACGCTTTAGCCCATTCGGCCACCCCGCCCACATTTTCCGTGTTTGAACCGATACAAATATACCAAACAGTAGAAATATATTAAATATAGTATATACACTTAAATGTAAATACTATGAACCCGCCCCTCCCCCTCTCCCTAATCCTCGCGCTTTAGAGAAACAGATTGCCAATACTTGTAGCATATGTATACAAAAAAGCTGTCAGATTTGCATCCTATTTGATTTAATTACATCGATATTTGTAATAATAGATTTTTGCATATATCACACTTAAGTCCAAGGGTCCCATTGACCGCGATCACGTCATCTCCGGACTAAGTCCAGGTACTTGATAAGCATCTCTTCCTGGGTCCAGGGCCGCAGGCTTTAACGAGACATCTGCTGCATCTGACCCTGCCTGGTAAATTTGCCGCCTTTCGACTAAATTTATTTGAACATGAGGAACTGCATCAAGATTGGCGAAAAGAGGCGTTAATAAGGTGAAGCGTCATCATTAACAAAGTTACCAGACCAGCCCCCACTTATTCTGTATATAGCAATCATATCGGGTTTTCGCCAACACACTAAATTATATTGCCCCTTAGGGATAACATATGGAATGATTTAAGAGAACTAACGATATTAACAGTTCAAGTTATTCGTAAATATTTAAGCTGTTGTTTAGGGCTTGGAAGCGTAAGACCTCAAGGTCATCAATGCCTATCTAATCTTTGTTTCAATTATCGTAATACTAAATTATTTTCGCGGGAGGAGAAATAAAAATATGAAAAACAGCTCAAATTTGAATGTTGTTTAGAAAATCATTCACTTTAAGAACATTTATTACCTACTTTACTTTAACTTCATCATTAATTAAGATATCTGATAGTTTTGGTGTGAGTCCTAATTTATTTGAAATCCATACGTAATAGGGACACTCTTGAAAAATGTGGCTGACTTCGAGAGTACTTTAACAGTGTCGGCATTTTGGTGTAGGTTCATTTTGGTATCAAGTAAGAACGTGTTAGGTTCGTAAGTCCTATCCTTAGTCTAGTAAAGGCGACTTCCTCTCTTCGAAAAGGCGGTTCGAGTTGGACCATGATTTTCCTGATATTTTTATTTCCTTCAATTTGCTCGGAGGACTCTCGTTCCACATGGATTGCCAACCAAGAGATATTTTCTTTTCAAATATTCAAGTACTTTTATAATATTCATATAAGAAAAGAGGTCCCGTTCATATTACTTGTTTCAGACTCTCTATAATTGTACAGAAGCTTTCTATTTGTTTATGTACCCTTATTAATTCAATTTAATAAAGACACAATTTAATAAAATACATCTCCGAAACAAGCAATAAGGTTAAAACAGGCTGTAAAAGAGTAAATGTTTTTATTTTGATCCATGTTCGTAAACGAAATGTTAGAACTAGAAATGATTAGGTCTGAAGAACATTTAATTTTGGGCAATTCAATGCAAGGACTGACCCATTATCATATTTTAAGAGGAAATCTCAGCGAAATTTCCAGTTGGCGGTAACGACTTCCTTACTGAATTCTCATGCCATTTTGAAAATTCTGTCACGATCCTTACTGCCTTTGGTCTGAGGTTTCGCTGCCCGTAGTAATTTACCTTGCATGGAGTTAATGGAAGAATACCGTGGCTATGGTCGTTAGCCAATTCATCGATGTATTCGTATTCCTCGGCCATCTCGTGTTCTTTCACTTCCAACATTTTTCATCTCTCTCGCTCATATTTCAGGAAATATCCAACAGCGAAGGAGCCTTCTGTACGAATCATAATATTCACGTTGTAGTATGCAAATAATGCATTAGAAATATGCTTCAAATACAATTTCAGAATACATCGAATCCAATTTTGCTTAAAATTTATGCGAGGCATAATTTAAAGTTAATGTTCCATAAAAATACATCTATTATTATTAAAATACACAAATATGTTTTGAATAAATTAAATAACTAAATATAGAATATTTGTATAGTGCACTGTTTGTAGACAGCGATGTTACCTATAACAACAAAAGAAAAAGGGAAAAGTTAGACCTTTGTAAATATTGACTATCCAGTGCCAGTATAAACCAATAGTGAAAAGAAAGGCTAATATTTGCTGAAAACACTATTTAGAATTATTTGGCAGAAGAAAGAAACGAAGTACTGAAAAACAGGGATATTAGTTTTTTAATGATGTTATTTTCTTGAAAACGGTTACATTTATATTTCTCTTTTCTATAAAAGGATTATAGATTAAAAGAATGATGTAATCATACTTAATGGCAGTATGACAGAAAAACTAAATTATACATTCTGAATATATTTAAACTCATAGTCGCCTGAAATGTTTTATGATCACAAAATCTTTTCCATATTATTGAAGAAATATTAATTATGTGAGTAAGAAGATGGTCCGGCGTGGCTGTCATAAAAAGAATAAAATAGTAAAAAAACTATGTTCGTTTCGTTTCGTTTGTTTCGATGTCAAAGCGCAAAATATCCAGGTTATCAGCGCCCGATCAATTAAATAACACTTCTGTTATACTGTTTGGATGGTTAGTACAAAAATAAAAATATAAAATAAATAAATAAAAGGATTGATAGAATAAAATAAATAAATAAAGATAATAATAGACACTTATAGATAATAAGATAGAATAGATAAATAAATAAACTTTAAAAAAATAGCAGTCAAATCAATAAATAAATTGAAATTAATAAACAAATGAACTTAAAAAAAATATTTTATTTAAAGCCATCGTTCGATCCGACTTTGCAGGGCTAGAACGAACAAGATACAAAAGGCTATAGACCAATGTGGCAGTTACATAATGTTTAGATAACAATATAAAGAATGTGAATAAACTTATTAAAATTATTAACAGTGTGAATAGCAAGTACATAGAAATATCAACAACAATAAACTATATAAAACAGAGTAAACGAAGTATAATTAAATAACAAGATCATAAACTGAAGTAAATAAATGGTAATTTATTTTATTAATTTATTACACAATTATTATAGATTATTGGAAATAGGGAAAAATTAAAAGTAATAAGGAGGATGGATATATATTAAAAAATGGATATAATCCTACGGATCTCAAGGTAAGATTGAAAGAAAAATAAGAAATATTGGATAAAAAGGTGTGAAATAAACGAAAAAATATAAAATAAAAAAAAAAATAAAAATAGAGACACACTGTTGTATGCAGTATGGAGTTTCGGTTGAAACTGGGAAACATGGTGGGAGGGAGGAGGGTGGGGAGAGAGGAGAGAGAAAACACATGGGAAGAATAGTTGACTTGGTTGGGGTATGGTGGAGGTAAGTAGTGATTTCCAAGTATGCAGCAAAACAAATCATAAACCAAAAATATTACAATATCTATGAAATAAATTTATGAATACACACACACACACACACACACACACACACACACACACACACACACACACATATATATATATATATATATATATATATATATATATATATTATATATATATATATATATATATATATATATATATACAAGATAGAATTAAGAAATTATAAATAAAAGTACCATGTGAATACGAACTAAAAATGGAAGAGGGTACACTGCAGGACTAATTTAAAAGTATAAACAAAAAAGTGACATAAATAGTTAGAATTAGAACTAGTTGAATATATTGTTAGAAAATTACTTTTAAATACATGATGAGATTGAGAAATTATAGATAAAGGTACAATAAGGAATAAGGAAATAATTAAAAACATTCAAAGAACGATTGAATTAAACAAGTCAATGAAAAATTAAAAGTAGATAAAAATGAATCAAAATAATAGAAGATATAATAAAGAAGTTATTTTTGATTTATTAGATTTAAAATGTGATTGTATATTAACGAAATACAGTTTAAATCCACGTTATGATTAACCGGATTCTGTTCCATGTGGATATAGATGGATTCGGAAATGAGTCTTGTTCCATGGTTAGTTCCATGATTAGTAGGAACCGTGGCAGGAATGGATTTTTTTTTCAAAATCGAATGAATGGTCGAGGGTCAAGGGTATTCTGATAGCTTGGATGTAGAAAGGTTCCTGGAAATTATGGGTGTTTTGTGTTGGGAAATACGGTTTTTGGTGTGGTTTGTAGTTTCACCAATGTAGAAACTATTGCAATTAGGAGTAGAGCAAGGTGTCCGGTAAACTTCATTAGATCGATGTTGTAAAAGTTAGGGTCTTTCAAGTTGGTGAAAAGGAATAAGAGTTTGTTATGTGACTTAACTAGAGTTGATTGTTGGCTTTAAATAAAATAGTTTTTTTTTACTATTTGAATATTTTTATGACCGCCACCCCGGACCATCTTCTTACTCAATAATATAATACGATCAACCATTAAGTATTCAATATTAAGTATTTGGTTTCCTTTCTTAAAAAAGGGACAACGTCACATAATGAATACTGAAATATGACCCAAAGCAGATATCCAAAAGACAGACATGTATTGACATAATACAAACTGATATATACAAAATTAACATCAAGTTTATTTCAGTTTTAATTATGGACTATGACGAAACCAAAAAGTATTTGTTTTAATAATAATAATAATTATATTTCTGTATAACAATAAAACAAAACTAATAACTATTATTAGTTATTATTTGTCTCGTATTAAAAGTTTTTTTATGTTACTAGGTTTGCTATCTTATTCTGCAAGCACAACTTTATCAATTGTTCTGATATCTGTTGGATGTTTCTTGCTCATCTACTGACAAATATTCCTGTATGGTAACGTCTCTATTATTCAGTTAAAGGGGTTGGAGTGTTATCTTTTATATATTATCTTTTGTATGAAAATATAATATATAAAGACTTGATATGTATATAGTTTTTAACTTTATACCTTCACCACCTGTGAGAAATACTGACATTTAATGAGTATACTATCAAGAATTGTATAATAAAACATCGAGCGTAATGGAGAAGAGAATTGCGACATCTCTAGCCTGCCGTGATTTTAATATTTAAATTTTAGCAAGGAGATCCCTCCTACAGCATTTTTGTTATTCGCGATAACAAAAGGATGTTAATTGCGGATATACCTTAAATGGGTGTGTTATTATGTTGTATTGTAAATGAAATATTTTGTAGCATGCCTATATATGGTGATTAACGTTGTTATTTTCATTGTGAAGATCTCGATCAAAGAAATGTTGGTAGCTTACCATTGAGGTTTGATCCTCAAAGATTTTGACCGAAAAAATTGGAGTTTACATGAGTGGGTCTTGTTGCCTTTTTCGTACATCTATGAAGAGTAACTATTGTACATAGATGTGAATTTGTTTTATTTATTTTAATTTCATTCATTATTTTCTTTCCTTTATATATGTATATATTTTTTTAAATTTACTTTATTTATTTTCTGTATTTTAGTTATTTGTATGTATTTCCATTTTGTACGTACGTATTGTGTGAATTAATTGCTAAAATGTATAAACATTTATAACAAAAAATCCTGTTTTTTTTTTAAAGTATTATATTTTAATAAATATAAAATCAATAGGCCATATCGATCGTCTATCTTTAATAAATAAATTAATTCAAAACAACCTCCATTTGTTAAGATTTAACTGTGGATTTGTAAGCAATTTATAAATGAGAAAACGTTTGAATTTCACCTTCAACAATATCCGTAAATGTCACGGCTCAGGAAGTGACAGTTCATTCCATCAAATAAAAAGGCATATCAATAAAGAAATTGAAGGAGGCGCAGATGGCAGTTTAGTATTGACAGGATCTCAACCGTACAGGAAGTACTCAATCTATAATCTTTCTATTGGTTAACTCCCCAAATAATTTTCTGTGCCACTCAATAATTAATAATCAATAATGATAATTTAATTATTAATTAAATTGATAAGACGATAACACGATTGATAAGACGTGAGCAATGAGAGGGCTTACAACTGATCTTCTTTACTTGTGAGATTCCACCACAGCTTTGTGAAATAAAGATTATGTGATGAATTAGGTTCTGTCTTCTTAAAGTATCAATGTTTCCAGCCCAAAAAAAAGGTAAAGCAAATTACTACTTGGCTCTTGCGAATAATTCGCAAAGAATATTGGTCAGTGAACAAATGACAAAATAATAAATAAATAATTCAACGTGTCATAAGATGAAGGAATCATTTCCTTTTTTTCGGTTGATTATAATCGACCAAGGAGAAAAAAGTATTGTAAAACTCCCTACTTACAATAGCCTGTATCTCAGCTAATTAAGGTTCGAATTTTTCATCAGCTGCAGATCTACTCTGGTGTCGGAATTCCTCCTAGGGCACACTCAGCCTCTGCAAAGTGGGTACTCATAATTAATTAAAGAGTAAAATCTGGCGGTTGAGCCGAATTCCGACCCGATCACTTCTCTGCACAACGGTTGGCTTTGAAACAGTACGTCCTTACAAAGTACTGAACCCAAGACTCTTAACGGGTTGTAATAAATACAGAGATTTATGTCCTATCATTCCGGAGAGGTAGAGGAATTGCATCATAGGCCTGGAGCCAGGACCCAAAATAGACCTGATCGCAGGCAAAGGTTTGATTGTAAAGTGTATGTTATGCTGAGTAAAAAGAACCTTGTCTGCCGTTCCAGAGCCGCTGCTTTAAAAAAAATAACGGTTGATTTATAGAATATTAGGCCAGTAATAAAAGGTACGAAACGGGAAATCCATTGCGAAAAATGTGAGAAAAGTTTTTTTATGTTTCATACTTGTATATATGGGTTTAGACATGTAAATTTCGCATTCTGTGAGTACCAACTAATTTAATGTAGGTTACTACCTCCGAACAGAATCTATAATAATCGAATAATCTCCCGATTGTTAGAAATTGGTAATGAAGGTAAACATGATTTTCATTATTTCAAGAGTATGGGTTCTATTATACTGAGTTATTTTTGCTTAGAGTTTTACATGCAGTATAAGCCTCTTTTCCACCTTTCAGCAGCGAAGGATTTTGATAAACGATGTGTCAAAAGATACCGAATTTCCAAATTAGTAGTAACCAAGTAACCAAATTATAAAGTTTATGTACTCGTTCGATAAACATTTAATGTTCTTCTATTTATTAAAGAATAAATTTTTTGCTTCTATTTATCGTTTAGGAGTTATAGATGAAAAAACAAAAACATTTCGAAAAAATCTGACTTTTTTGGCTGTAAAAGTTTTCTCTTGGTGACACGCGTTTGCAATTTTGATTTTTACACATCTAAATCTATCTAAACTAGTTAAAAAAATAAAAACTTTTCTCACATTTTTCCGAGTGTAGTGGAAATCGAAACGGATTTCCTGTTTTGATCTTCAAGTTATTGTCCTAATATTGTTTAAATCAGCCGCCATTTATGGAAGCAGCGGCTCTGGAGTGGCAAACCATGTTAATTTTACTCAGAATAACATATACATTCGTAATTTACAATCAAATCTTTGCCTGCGATCAGGTCGATTTTTGGACTCTGGCTCAAGGCTATTACTAAAACTTCACTACTACTCAGGGATCATTTTAAGCATTTGTGGAAAGGATTAACTACACCAAACTCCACCAAATGATGGTTCGTAAGTAATAATAGCTCAACATGGAAGTTAACTTTATATAATAATTTTATTATTGATTTTATTATTCTCAGCCTCAGAATTCATTTCTATTTCTTCTCTGATTATCTATGATATTTATTCATAATTTTTATAAATACAATAGTATTAGTCATTATTATATTGGCTAATAGTTTATTTTTATTTCTAGTCCTATACGACATTTTATCTCAGAATGGGGACATGAAACAGAAAAAATGATCCAAAATTAATGTAAAAACTTCTTTTGGTTTATAAAATGACATGAATGTATTTTAAAAAATACTTTATAAAAATATCCTTAATAAGATGCACTAAAATAATTTTAACTTTAAGGGCTAATCAATTAGGATAAACTTTCATGAGAATGAGACAGATACTTTTTAATACTTTAAAAGTCAACTACCACTTATTTCTTTTTGCTTAGTAATTATATGAAAGAGACATTTGAGGCGTCTACTAATATAAATGGATAAGTCCATTTTTGTTTCTTTTCAAAGCCCACTTTTTTATAGTTTACTATATAAATAAATATTTACTGAACAGTTTATTTTCACTTCAAAACGCCAAACTACAAAGAACTCAACGCACAAAGCGCACTTTTTCAGTCTCAGTGTGCAAAAGTATTGTTTGGTATATAATATTAACTTACAATTTCTTGAGTATTTTATGATTCGTAAAGTACTATTAAAATGATTTCAAAATATATTTATTTTATAATTTAAATATTATAACTGACAACAAATTGAAAAGCTTAATTGGTTGTTTTTATTTAACTGTTTATAATTTTTTTACAACCATCATAAATATTTCTTATGTTTCAAAATACTAATTGAAGAGAGTATTTAAAACATTGTTTGAATAATTAAATATTAATTATTACTAAAACTTTTCCCTACCTTCGTTGTCTGTATAAATCGGCACTATTTTCATTTTTAGTTTTCAAATATCCCTACAATCCAAAATCCTTCGTAAAATCCTTAATGCTCCCTACTTTGTCACAAATAAAATCATCCATAATGACCTTAATGTACCATATGTTTCCGATTTAGCTCAATCCAGATACCTGTCCTTTCATAATAAACTTCTGAACCATCCGAACCCTCTCGTTTCCAATCTTGCTTCCTCTTCTATTCCTGATAACCCTCCGAGGCGTCTAAAAAGAAGATGGCCTCGGGACCTTCTAATATAGAAATATAATTGGAGTGCTACCAATGGGTAGTTTCTCCTCATATTGTACATGTCATATTACTTGTTCGTATTTACTTGTTGTATTTATTATTAATTACAGTTGTAAATTTCGTTAATAAAAAAAAAAAAAGTTTTCAAATAGTACATCACATCTATGGCCCCTTTCCATCATGTGCCAAAAGATGCTTAAGCAGTCTGTTCAAGTAAAGATGGTAGCGTTATTTCATAAGAAAATATATTTCATAAAAATATATGACGTTATGGCTACGCTAGTTATTTTACATGAAGTAAAGAACTGTACATAATATTAATAAATATTAGTCAAATTATTATTTTGAATTGAATGGTCTATAGTCCATTGTAAATAATGAAAAAAGAAAGACTACTAGCACATCGGGTTTAATAATTTACATACATTTTATTAAATAATATAAAATAAATTGTTAAGAACAAAGTTTGTTTTTTATTGTTGGAATGAAAGTAAGTTATAATAGAATTGTGTATTATAGTAGCATGTCAAGATATGTAATAAACTTTTGAAAGCTTGAAATGTTGTAATAACATATATAAATGCAAAAATTCGAAGGTCAATTCATTCCTAGAAAACACTTTATATAATGACATTAAAGTACCGTTGACAAGTATAGTGCTAGTAAAGTTACTAAATATATATAAGTTATTATTATTTTTTTTTTTTACATAGTCCATAAATGCATCAGTTATGGCTCTAATTCGATTCATTCCTCCAATTATTCAATAAACACTTCATGACCATTTTAGCCATATAGACAAATAATAAAGATTTCAAATTTAACCAACTTTTTGTTCTGACTCTATTTCTAACAAACCTTTTTGTTAAAAAAAAAAAAAAAATCAGGTGTGCTTTCATTCTAGGCTGTTAAGATGAGTTTTATGTCATAGCACATCCGTAGAATTAATCTCAACCTTCCAATGTTGGCTCGGACTTGGCTTGATCACC